GGAGCACTGGGTGTTGTGCACGAACAATGAATCATGGAACACTTCATCTAGAACTAATGATGTAATGTATGGGGATTAACATAAGAATAAAAAAAAAAATTTCAGGTCCTTGGTTGCATGAGGCTCATTTCAAGTGCTCAAAAGGTACATGTGGCTGATGGCACCTGAGTTAGTGCAGAGAGAGAATATTCCATTATCACTGCAGAAAGTTCTACAGGGTAGTCCTTCTCCAGAATTTAGGACTTATTTGGTATGGGGCAGGGAGGAGAGTGCAACAACTTTCATTTTTCCCCTTAATAAACATCAGTATTTGAGACTTTTACAGCCAAGATATGTTTGTGTATTACTTGTACAATTTAGAAAAATAGCGTACCATACAAAAGACCACGGCTGATGAAAGATCTCAAAGTATTTAACCGCACAGCATCACAAAGATCTGCTTTCCACACCCTGGTGCACCTCTTTCTCTGGGAGCCCTCACACAGACGGACTCACCTTTGGAGTGTTTCCCCACAGTCCTCTTGGGTAGCGACTCCTCCGTGGAATGTGCTGATGTATGCAGTGCGTTCTCCAAACTATTACTCACGCTGCTGACGGGGGCCTCGGTTCTTGGAGTCACCTGGGAGGACAAAAAAATCGTCTTATTTTCTTCCATCTGGTCCATGTGGAATGATTTTTATTGTTATCTTAAAGTCACCGATATTTATTATAGTTTCAATTTTCATATAAAAATGTTATATAAAACACTACTTACACAATACTGTAACAATAAGCGCTTCCTGCACCCATCTCCTACTCACCCCTGAAATTTAAAACCAGCCAGGTGAGGTGTGCGTGCACGTGGGAGCTTGGCCACGCCGCTGCTTCGTGCGTCCGCACAGGAGCTCCATCAGCCGAGCTTCCGTGAGCTCCGTACCTCCCATCTGAAGTAAAAGCTTGTATTTTGTTTGTTCAAATCAGAGAGTTCCCTATACAATTAATTACACAGCTGGACCTGACGCTGTCCTATAAATCCTGAAGAAGTCACAAATGCTCTAAAAAGAACAGTCAAGAAGAGACTACAACTGGATCTACGTGGGGTACACATCCTAACGTTACACTACAATCCCACTTCTAGGAATTCGTCACACAAAGTTTCATGTGAGAAAAGTGGGGGGTGGGGGGTGGCGCTCACAGCAGCAGCTTCTGTAAGAGTGAAAACTAGAAAGCCTCCGAGAGAGCTGAGCATACAGCCCCGATCAGATGAAGGTCGGCGGGGGCCCGGCCCCTGCGACAGCAGCTCTTCAGCACCCCCAGTTCACGCGGGCTTCCCGCCCTCCTGCTCTCTGCCCGCCACCAGCGTGTCTGTGCAAGCACACGGCCAGAGGCGGAGGAGAGCCGAGGAGACGGCACACGGTGAACCGCAGTGACGTCGGAGAAGAGAGAGCCCCCGGGGTGGGGGCAAAAACTTTCATTTTTCCCCCTTAACAAGGATCAGTACCTAAAAAGTTTACAGGCAAACTTTATTGAGTACTTGTAGGCTTGAGAAGAATGAAAGTGACCAATGCTTTGACTTCCTCAGAGTCACAATTTAATATATATCAAAATTTCAAAGGCGAGTAAAGATTTTAAAGTTTATCAAGACAGGTGTGAGTTTTAAAGGGTGAGAAACACTATGCTACACATACAAGGAAGGGGCAAGGTTTGGGGGAGAAAAGGAACATGACTGCTGGTCTCCATCCTGATGTGGAGTGGCGCGAGACGCACGCCTCGACGGCCCTTGGTTTTCATCAGCCGGCTTCACTAGCTGGAAGGCAGGGGGCGGCCCATCGGACGAGCCCGTGAGCCCGGAGCAGGCAGAGGGCCGTGAAGGCAGAGGGAGAGAGCCAGCAGGAGAGGCCAGAGATGCCACCAGGCCTGCAGCACGGCGACAGCCAGTATCTTCCAGGCAGACCGCGCACGCCGGGTACCCAGCAAGCCCTCTCTCCTCCCACCCACCCGCGTCAAAGCCACCGCAGGGAGGCCTCCCCGCATGCACCCAGCACAGGACCAACAGGTCCTACGCTACACGAGAAAAGCAACCCAGCACAGTCTAGTGAAATCTGGAAGTTCACAGAGCCCAACGAAATGAATCCTAACCACCCAAGACTCCTCTAAAAAGTCAATTTTTTGGATAACATTACCAAGATATTATCAAGACAGTTAAAATTTAAATTACGTATATTTGTCATTTAACTAAAATGGATTATTTCCCTCAGATTCAGCAAAGTTTCATCCAATGGTCAGAGTACTCCAGGAATGAACTTCTTTCCTATTAAATAAGATAACAGAAGCAACACTTACAAGTAATTAATGAAAGACCAAGATTTTTAGTTCCAAACAGTAAATATTACTTTGGGAAACAACTCAGGAGGTTAACATTTTTTTTTTTTTTT